TGTCTTTTATAAAGGTGTGTTTCTTTCCCACGTTGTCCCGGTTTTGGTCTTTTGTCACTGCTTTGTGGAATTTTGTTTTCCAGTAAAAAAGAAGGTAGGCAAACCTAGAAATCAAAGTTTGTGCTAATATACACAGAGAGACCATAACATCCAGCAGCATTCTTCATTACAGATTCCTCAAATAATTTAATTCTTGCTGAAGATGAACAGCTTTCATCTCTAATTAAGTAGCTTGCTAGTTCTTAATGCTTCAATGTCATTATGTCTTTCTGTAAGGGTAAGTTATTGTAGCTTATTTTCAACACAGCCAATGAAAATAGCAATGTGATTCAGCAGACATTTGTTTTACTGGGGTTTAACACTGTGGCAGTCGCTGCCATTAGCTGATTCAAAATGTTCTGCTTACACATGGCTTTTGTGTTTTTCCTCTTCATTCTTGTTAAGTGAGTACGTGCTCAAGTGGTGCAGTTGCTGGCGATAGAAAGTTATTTTATAAGCCTTGTACTGTGCAGATTATAGTAGCTGAATGCTCTGTTTCTTATTACAGAAAGGCCAGGAAAAGAAAGTCGATGGACATATACAGAAGAGAAAGTACCAAAATGTAGAAAGGCTCCCTCACTACTTAGTAGACTATGTCCTGAAAGTGTTGCTGCATACACAGGCAGTAACGTAGCTGAGCTGGTGGAAATAAGTGTTGTAGTTGATAATGCAGACTCACCAGAGCTTCTGCAGCAGCAGAGCAGCAACACTTGGGAGATCACACAGTCCTGTGGCACAGTGCTAGAGACTGAGCTGTGACAGTTTTAGCATTTCGTAGACAGTTTAGTCCTTTGTTGGGATGACAGGAATTCAGTGCTCCCATTCACTCCAGCACACAATAGAAAAAATCTTAAAGAACTCGCTTCCATTTTCAGAGACTTATTAAGCCAAAAAAAAGGTAACTTAATGAAAGAAGAGTAGTGTCTGGTGAAAAGGGGAGGGGAAAGAAGTCACCTTCACTAGTTAACACATTTTCTGTAGATGAAAAATTACTAAGTACCAGATTTTTTCAACTGAAATTTGGCTGTGGCCTCACAACTCCTGCCAGTTTTCCAAACAAAACAATGCATTACAATTATTTTGCCAACAGCCCAGCCTAAACACAAGGGAAGGAAGACCCCACTTCTACCATGTTTACATATCCAATGCCGTTGTTGCTTCTCATGAAGGGCAGTGATTTAAGGCAGGAGTTCAGAAATAGCACAGAAGTACAGAAGAGAGGGATAAGATTGACTCACCCCTAACAGACCAGTTAGGAGAAGCCATTTGTTTTACAGATGAACTCACACAAATTTTGCTGAATAACACTTGGGTTCTTGTAAAGAAAACAATACCAAACAGTTGAAAATATGTAAACAGGCCTGGCTGCAGGCACTTGCAAGTTAAAACAGAGAGAGCAAAACCAGTAGCAACAATAACACATACCCCGAGTTCACTGCACTGCACAACACACTTCTGTTTGCCTTTACCTGAATGGATATGATAATCCTTAAGCTGTTCAGTGCCTAACTGACCCCCCGCCCCCACAAAAGAGGGGAGTTTTCTAAAGGACCAAGAACGTTGTTTGTCTTATTAATCTTATTCATCTGTTTACTTTTATTAAATATTGTCAGTGTTGCAAATGCCAAGTTACTCTGTTCATTTAACATACCCCATTTCCATCTCCAGCTGGCCATGGCAATGTGTGCCCATAGGGGAGGAGAAACTTGCTCTTCCAAGCAGCCCAGTGCAGGGTGAGGGGCAGCAGCCTTGCGTGCTCCTCTCTGAGGGTCCTGGCAGTTTGTGGCTGGATGGAGGCAGAGGCTCTGACGCAGTGTTTATTATAATTCTTACTGTCCAGCACTGGGGATCAAACATCATGCCAGCTCTGCTTCTCTTACACTAGTGGTAGTAACTTAGCAGTGCCTTCCTTGAATTTTAGTTTTTCAAGTCACTGACCCAGTCTCAGCCTCTTTTAAAGACTGCTAAATATTTCTGTTTCATCAGTGATGGGACAGCAGAAATGACAGAAAATGCCAATTATGGTATACAATATAAAGGTCCTATATGATATAGAGTACAATTATTAGCTGTTACGGAAAGCAGAAATCTGTATTTTTCCAGCACGTATAGCAAATTCCGCAAGTGGCTGATGTACCATAAGAATCCAGTATTTTTCATCTTTTTGGCAGTGTATTTCATAGGGATTGAAGCTGAGTGGAGCAAAGCAAGTCAGAACATAGACTCAGATGTCCATCAGATGAGAGACTTAATACCAAGAAAAAGGACTTAAGAAAAGGTCTTAATGAAAGTTGTGATATCATCATAGAGGATTTTGTACTTGAGGCTTCTCAATCGTGATCACAACTACAAGCCACTCCTCCTGGTTGCCCTGAACAAACTCTTCCAAACTGGACATGATACTTTTCTTCAAGCTTATTTGACTGAGAGTGATGGAAATTTTGTCACCATGGAATGGTAATCACAGATATGATTATCAGCATAAAAAGACTAACGTTTAGCAATAGTTTTAACTCCACAGATTTTAAAATTCCACAGTATTTTTCATACTTAGAAAAGATCATACTTTTCTCGCATACTCTTTCCTACTGACTTCTGGAATGAATAGTATTGCACCAGTTGAAATGCAATAGGTATGACATTTAACTAGTACGTTATCACGTGTAACTTGATACAGAGATACTCCATTTCAAAGCTACATCCACCAGATGTGCGTAGATCTGAGTTAGAGTTTGGCTGTGTTTTAGATATCCTTCAACAGACATGCTTGAGATCATCTCAAGGGCAGTCACAGAAATAAGAGACCAGCAAGACAGAAGTTAAGAACAGGCCATCAGCATTGGTCTGGTTAAACTGTTAATCTTCATTTGCCAGTTTAAGCTTGGTAGGGAGTGAAGAAAAGCAATTTTAAGCTTAGATATTCAGCTTTATGAACTAAAAAATAATAGTGGGTTTTGCCTATATGAATATTCTGAGACTTCTTGTATGAGAATAAAGTGGTCCGCCACCCAGTTACACCTAGACAAATCTGAATTCTGGTTAGCATTGTCCTAAAACACCATTCTGTGAGAAAAATACTGTCTATTCTTACCAGCTTTCAGGTTAAAAAAACCACCCTTTGTAGTGTGAGCTAAGTTAACATTACAGTTTTATGTGCCATTATAGCTCAGCTTTGCTTTCCTCAACTTATGGATGCATCTGAACAGCATCTGAAATATTTTATCTTGGAATTTCCTTGGCTTTTTTATAAAGTTAAGGAAAAATGCTTGTAGCTCTGCCATATGAGGCAAATACGGCACATAAATTAGTTTCTTGGGACAAAAGCCTTCGGTAGGTAGATTACACCATGAGTGACAGATGCTTTAATTAACATATCTGGATTGAATATCAGATTTGCTTCAAGTTGCAGATACATATTTCTTAATGTCTTTAGCCTGACCACTTCTTAGTAAGAGCTGCATTGAAGTCTGTAGAAAAAGAGTACCTGTCCAAGTTTCAGAAGATTTGGAGTCCAAAACAAGCAGGTCTCTAAAGTTTGTAAAAAAACTGGCTTAACAATTTAGAAATTGCTCAAATTTGAAAGTTATTGATTTTTTCAAAAGTATGACAGGAAGTATAAGAACTGACAAAAAAAGGAAATTATTTAACTCTTCCATGCTTCTGCACATCAGATCAGGTTTGGAGGTGTTCCTTTCCGACCCATTTCACAGGCCAAATTGTACTTCAGGGGGAACTTTCTTTGGATTCAGAAAAGTGAGGTGATGAAGATGCCAAATGCTGACTGTGGTAGAAATGTGATTACAGACTGGGCTATCTTTCAGTTGTCGTATGCAATCACTTTTGGTCTGGATTTGGACTGGTCATTCACAACTAGAGTTTCTGGGAGCTGCCAGTTGAACTCAATAAATATCTCAGAGCTCGGTTTCCTTCCTTAATACAGGGTGCGCAGCCAAGTTAGAAATTTTATGCAATATCATGCAGCTATTTTGTGGAGGTGTTGTTCAAACTGCAATGCTTTCATTTTTTAAATTGATAGTGTTTTGTATCTTCTATAGTAGTATACAAATTCTAAAATCTGAATTTATGAAACAGAGATTCTAAAAGCAAGAGAAATCCATGAAGATGGTAAAGTTATTTTTTATCAGACTTTTCACCCTCCATCGCAAGTTTTTCATTCTTTGTTTTCTTCATCTTCTAGTTCCTCCTGGTACCACCTCTCTGTGCTGCTGTGTTCTGTCTCCTTTTACTCTGGGTCATTTCATTTGTACTGTTCTCCAAGTCTCTGCAATAGAGCAAGGAATACAGCCTTCCACAAACATTATTTTCTCCTGTAGCTGCTGTCCCTTGAAGCACAATTTCCCCCGTGTTTCTTCCTTCCCATCCGGTATGTGCCACTAGCTATAATGGCAGCAGTACTGGATTGCATGTATGTAACCCTCTATAACTTGTTCCAGCTGAAGCTCTGTATTAGCTGACATTTTGGACTTTTTTGATAGGCCAACTTCCTTCGGGGCTTCCCTTCAGTTCTGATGCCTCCCCCATTCCCAGCAAAGTGCTTCCCTCCATGCCCTTTCTCTGTTGCAGAACCGATGAGCTCTGCTCCTCCTAGTCCTGTGGTGGTAATCACCACTGCTGGGGGATGTTCCTGCAGCATGGGGTCCTCCTGCTCCCATCCTTCAGCTTACAGTGTGTCTGACAATGCTCCTTGCTCTGTACTATGACCAAAACCAGAAGTACAAATTAGAGATCAAACCAGAAAGCGGACCACTATGGTTCAGTTGCAATAGTGTAATCAGGAGCAGAATCTGACCCATATTAAACACACCAGTGCACATGTCCTAATGCAGAAAGTCAATGTTCACAATGTTCCCATGTGCAGCTCTATCAGTCACTACTCTGAAATCAAACAATTGTGGCATATCCTTCTTATCTAATTCACATATTTTGTTCCCTCTTTGTAGAAGAACTTGTGAAAAATGTTGGTGAACAGGAAAAAGACCAAAGCAGAAATTCCACAGATGCACAGTTACAGGAAGAGACAACAAGGATACAAAATGAGAGTAGTCAGGGAAGCGATGGTACAACCTGTCCTCCCAGATCCATCGTCCTACAAGTAGTCTCTTTCGACACTCCTCTGAGTGATGAATCCAACTCAGAAAAATGCACTAACTCTGATCCGAACCAGAAAGATCTCACCGATGCCCAGCAAGAAACACAGAATACAGACCCACTGAATGGTAATGCTTCATCACAGAGCACCAGTCAATCTAATGAAGCTGTCCAGGGTGAAGCTGCAGCAGTGTCTGGTATCTCCCTGTCAAACATCGACAGTAATGTAAAATATCAAACTAAGGTGTTGTACAAACCACCACTGTAAGACAGTTTCTTCAGGCATGTGTAGAAACAGTAGCGTCCTCAAACCATCCAATAAAAACTGTTTGATATAAGCAAATATCATCTTCATATTAGCTGTTTGGTATCTAGTAGAAAATTTTTTAAATAAAATACCAAGACCTTTAGTTGAACTGGAAGAATAACTTTAAAGTAATTTTAAGATGTGTATTTGCAATTAAATAGCAGTTTGTTATTGGAGAATGAGGTAAACTTTCAAAACAGAACTATCTAACATTTTCTCTTCAAATAGGTAATTGTTCTTATGCTATTAAAATGCATCCCCCCTTAGTTTAGGCACCTAATATGATTGTTATTTTGTAAACCACATCCTTTGTACTAAATGTAATGTGAATTTTAGAGATAACTTTAAGTGGATGGAATTTGCTGACTGTAGTAGGCATGGGACTGTGTCGTTCTCTTCATCAGAAACATCAGTCTCCTGACTGTAGTTTGCAGGACAAGCGGAGCAGCCAGAAAATCCCTACAATGTAGGAATATTTTTTTAGAATGTAAGTTTTTTGTCACAAGCTGACTGTGATTTAGTATCTGGTGACTGTAAGACAGTATCAAGGGCAGGATGCCCAAGCAATAGCAATAGACGTTATCAAAGTAAGAGAAAGACACTGTGCATTTTCATTTTATTGTCTGTATTTGCTTATTGTTAGAATAAGCTTTGAGGTATTATGGTAAGAATCAAGGCATATAACGGCACTTCTTTTCCTCACTTCTAATTAAAATGCTAAACTCATTAATGCTTTTATGACAGTGAGCCTTGCGATAATGTGCCAGAAGTATGGCATTGTCTGAGCAGCAACACTGAAGTGCCTGTAAGGCTTAGCTCAGACATAAGTATATGACTTGGCATATTTCTCAAAAATGCTTTTTATGGATAACTCCCACTTATTCTAGAGTTCCCCATTCCAGTGCTCCATGCTTTTGTTTTTGACAGGTTTTTTGCATCAGAAATAACAGATGGTTAATTTAGGGTCCTAAATCAAAATATTTACACTAAAATTAATTTCACAGCATTTGAAGTTGTCTAATAATTGACATTTTTGTCTTTTGATGTGTATTTTTTGCACCATTTTTTGTATTAAAGCCCAACTTGAAATTTAAGTGCCTTAGAAAACTTTCTTATCTCCTGGATGAGGAACACAGTAGGAAAAGCTGTATCTTTTATCTTTCAAACTATGCAGAAGGCAGTTGTGGTATAGCTGTCCTTGGGGGTCTTTAGATGGCTGACCCACAAAAATGCTGCTTGAGAGGTCAGATGCAACTCAGCATGCAGTCAGTGCACTCTGTTGCCTTGTCAATCTTTACATTCTGCCTTTCCTATGAGGACAGAGGTTTCTTATTTTAGAAAAAGCTAATCTCATTCATTTTCTAAGGCAGGGAATTTTCTACAGAATGCCTTGTATTTTAACACTTCAGACTGCAAAATTTATGAAAAGGGTAAGAAGTGGTTGAGTTTGTAATAGTGTATTTCCAAAGGCAAACATGACCTGGAAGCTTTTTTTTTTTTTTTTTTTTGAAGATGGTAAAAACAGTTTAATAACATGAATTCCACCAGTACAAGGATGTTCCTTCACTAGAGATGGCAATATTCAAAAAGAGTTCAGATAAATAACGAAATAGAAATAAGAGATTGATTTAATTATTTTGTGGAAATAAATAGTGTTAGTAAGGTCCTGAGCTGAAAGCCAGAGCTCATATGAGGACATTGCTCAGCTCTTGCATCACTAAAGAGGCAGTGGTACTTAAACCGTGGACTAATAACAAGTCATGGAAAAAGGGGAGATATAGTAGGAGACATACCTGCATCAAGTGATTAATCACACAGTCGCTGAGCGATGAGCCAATACTCCCTTACTGGGATCCCCCAACTTATATCTGAGCTGTTGTAGGTTTTGCAGCACACATCTCAGTTGCTGCTGATTGCCATGGAAAGTTTTGGTATAAAAATATAGGTTTCTGTACTGAAACTAAACACCTATGTCTGAAAATCCTAAACTGCTGTATAATGTCTTTGGAAATGAAATGGAACTGAAAGGATTTTTCTCCAAACCCTCCTTTACTACAAGCTGCTGGCGAGAGTGTGTAAAAAGTAGAGGCTAAAGCCACGCCATTGATCAAACACATGCCGAGCCACTGTAAAATTCTGTTCTGAACAGGTCTTTGAATTATTAATTATTTTTAAAGGCATCTGATATTTAAAGGCATTTTTAATTGTCATTTTATGTGAAACTTCTATTGTGGTATGTTGACTTTACTCTCATCCATCTCCTTCAGTGATTATTTGTGTTCATTTTCCAGCATAGATAAATACTGAGGTAAATGGAGAGCTTGATGAGTGTTTTGCCTGGTTTCTGTAGCATATTAATGTCAGAGTCCAATACTCTCTGACCAGGTTCTTTTAGATATTCCACACATGAAGGATGTAATGTTTGATATCAAATTTACCTATTTGAAGATAGTTGATGTTACATGGCATTTCTGATTTAGCAGGGTGCTACAAAATATACTGAAAGCACACTACAAAGTTACACTTAGCAGAATAGAGCAATTGCAGTACTCAGCTCAATGACAATGCCGATGTGAGTCCCACTACCAGTCTCTAGAATATGCTCACTGTCACGACACTGGGTGTCACCAGTAAGGCATACACAGGTTGAAGCCAGTTCAAGCCCATTGCTCTCTTCAAAATTATTTTGCTAGTTGTTTAGTTTTTATACTCTTATATTGGGCTGAACCACATATTCACTCCCTCCATGCCAGCCTGGCTAACACAGGGAGACAGTCACACTCTTCTAATGAACTCAGGGAGAAACATCTACACCACCGGTTGATCCCCTCAACTGTGATATAGTCAGTGGATCCACTCAACTGATATAAGTGCTTATCTAAACCAAAGGCCACCCTCTGCTCCCTTTTGTGTTGAGATTGTCAGCTTGCTTTGCAACAGCTCTGGTCAGCCACCCCTTGCATTATCTCCTGAGCTTGATGGGCACATCCCCCTTGCCTGTCTCCACTGAGCCTTCTTCTATTGTAGGGGTTTATTGGTCAGTCACGATATTATTTACATTCTGATTTTATGTCATTAAATAGTTTGTTTTATACTTTAATAACATTTCATTCCTGCATTTTCCCTATTTTCCCAATATTTAAATGTCATAGAAAAATATTTTGAATATTTTATGGTCTTTTGAAATGATTTACAGAGGGACTATGTCATCATATTCTTAAAACTTCCTTTCCTAAGGACGGACCAGCCCTGTTACTATATAGTGAGAAATCTATCTATATATTGTTTAAATACCATAATCTTTTAAGTCAGCACTGACCCTTTCACAGAACTTTATGCTTCTAATAAACCACAGAGGAGACCTAATATTAATTTCTCAACTATGTCATAGATGATATAAATAAATTACATATATAGTGGGCTTTTTCTGTGCCTGCCAATTAAAAACGTATACTGCAGGTATTTACATCACTGTAATGAACAAGGGCGAGGGCAGCAGACTTTCTACAAACACATGGTGAGACTCAGGTCCCGACTCTTTGGGATGAAACGAATTAATATTGGGTTTCAGCAGCAGCTTTAAGTACCTCTGCAGAGATCGTGCCACCACGTTAAAGATAACTGAAAAGAAAGGCAATACAGGCATTTAGTATTGGAATAGCTGCAATATTCAATGCCAAAGGGAAAACTCAGGCTAAAGTTTTTCACATTTCTCTTTCCACAGTGGTGAAATGATTTAATATCATTCTAAATGGAGGGAATTACATTAAACTGTCATCGTTGTTGTTGAAATGTAGATACTTAATATTAGTGTTTTTGCAAGAGTTTTCATTGCTGCAGAGTGTAGAAGCCTCATAACTACAAATAGCACAGTAGTCTCTGTTTTCTCTTCTCACTCACCCCTCCTTTTTCTCTGTATAAGTGATGTTTGAGATGGTCAAGAGTGAGTGTGTTGTGTATGATGCAGTAGCACTTGGCACAGAAGGAAGTTATAGCACGGGTATTATCCCCACTTTTCACTTTTGCACCCCTGTTGATGGCCAGCGGATCCAGACAGGACTCTTTTAATCAAGGTCAGATATTTTCAATGGAACGTCACTTCAAGCAAGCAGAAGGTAGCATACGCATGACCTTACATTTTTTCCCTGCTTCCCAAATCAGAGTTATTTGAGTATTCTAAGAAGCACTATACATCTATCAGGACATTATTAGCACTGTCCATGCTAGATTTTTCTACCTCTGTACTTTCTGTACTGAGGATGGGGGGGGTAGAAGGCTAAAGCGATGTCCAGAGTGCTTGCTGACTCCTGGGGTGGAGAATTAAGCACCTGTGGGCGCTGGGGCTCGGAGAGCAAGATAGAAAGTAAGAAGAAATGCAACATAGTTATTCAGATTGAAATGTCATACGTTAGCTGTCAATATTCTGTCTTTATAGAAAGCAGAGAACTCAGTTCGGTCATCTGTGAGTAAGCCATTGAATTAGAGATGGGAAACACAGGGGAAGATGATCTATTTGCATTCTTGGGAACTGTCATTGAATGTTTGGATGTACTGTGATGAGGGGGTTCCCCATTAAATAAAGAAAAAAAGGACTGTTTTCCTCTCCTTGTATCACATGTCTTTCTAGGTGTAGTTCCTGTAGACTATCATGTTTTATTAACAGGAGTAGCTCTGCCCTGTGTCCTGGTCAGTGAGAAGGGAGAACCAGAGGGTCGCTATTACAAGAACTCCAGTTGTGACTGAATGTCATTTTCCTCCACAATACCTTTGTCCTTTCCATCATCTCACTTTCATTTAATTGAATGTTACAAGGTTAAATAGAACTATTATAAGGTGATTTTTTTAAGTGATGATTTTCGTTTTCTCCTGAGTGATTTATTAATTAGAACATTAATTTTAAAAACTACTTATGTTTAATTAATCAGCTCCATGTTTCAATGATTTATAAATGCTAATTTGTGCACTTTTAACTTTTCACTCACAATGATAGCCACATTAATCCTTAATA